CTTATCATCATTGGGGTTGTTCTTATAATTATACATTTTTGCTACGATGAAAATTCTTTTTTTGAAACGTTAATGTAACTTGTAATAGGAATTGCTGAAATGTTTTTTTTTACTATTAAACCATGTTTGAACTAGTCGTCTGCTTAGTGAAGTTTGATCGTCCAACTCGAAAAGTAAAATAACGAAAGTAATTGGACAGTTGCATGAATGTTATTTAAAATAAGTAGTTAAAACAAATTGCCCAAAACTTGTAACTGATATATTTATATATACAATGAACATATAAAGAATTATGCATATATTTCATATATATATATATATATATATATATATATATATATATAGGGGCCTAATCAAATGAGAACTAATTAGTTTGTGGTAACTGTGAGAACCAATATTAACCCCAAATCAATAGATAAATTAGGAAATTTATAATTTTGACAATTTTGAATTAAAATTTTAATGCAAGGATATTTTTGGTATTTTACAACTTTCCTCCCTCTTCTCTTCTCTCTCCGGCCACCGTCCTCCGTCCACCGTCCGCCGGCCACCGTCCTCCGATGATACTACAATGGTATCACAATGCATCATATATGTGCTTGGGTATCACATTGATGTCGTTTGTGTGGTCGATCGAAGATGTAACACAGTGGTATCACTATGCATCTTATATATGATTAGGTATCACAATGTATCTTTTGTTTAACAGAGTCAATATTTTTAGGTATCACAGTGGTATCATAGTGGTATCACCAGAGGCCGGAGAGAGAAGAGAGGAGAGAGGAGAGTTTTAAAATACCAAAAATATCCTTGCATTAAGATTTTAATTTAAAATTACCAAATTTATAAATTTCCTAATTTATCTATTGATTTGTGGTTAATATTGGTTATCACAGTTACCACAAACAACTCAATTCTACCTTGAATAAGCCCATATATATATATATATATATATGTGCTTCTGTACAAACAGGTGTGGTAAGAGAGTGAGCATGTGATCGTAACAAACGACTGCAATAGAAAAGGTACAAGACAAAGTACGATAAAAGCTAGGCAAAAATCGATATTGTTCCTTTGATCCGAATATGTACAGTTAGTTATAAACTTATTACTAAAACAATATTACACTCTATTTTAAATTGTAAATCCATTTGTTTTTTTTTTCCATGTTTTGTCGTTTTCTGAAAGTGGTATTTTTTTGCAATTTATTCAGTTTTTTTGTTGTAAGAGAAAGACATAGAGAGAGAGAGAGAGAGTCATCTTGATATCTAGAGAAATCTCAGGTATTTAATTTAAAGTAAAGAAAAGAAATGCATCGACAATGTACAACTTTCATAACTCTTGTCAAGGTACACAAAATTCTCGAAGAATGGAGTTTCTTGGGAAAGGTTTTCTAATGCAGTTGCAACTTGATCTTTAGGCTCGTTGTTTGTCTTTTTGTTTTATTGGTTTGGTGGTTGTTTTATCTTAGTTGACTTTCGACTGTCTTTTCGGTTTTTCTTGAGGTTCTAGGTTGTCCTGTCCCTCGCATGCTCCTGTTGGATACTTCTGTTTTGTTCTTGTTTGGTTAATGCATTGACTTTAAATAGGGGTTATTGCATTAGTGTGATGCGACAAGATTGGGTTATTGCATCAATGAGATGCGAAGAAAAATTATATCACCTCAAGGTTATTATCGCATGTGTAGGATGTGACAAAATTTGTTATCGCATCAATGTGATGCGATAAGTTGGTGTATTACATGTGGAATGTGATAACTTGATTATTTGTTTATTTAATGCGATAAGTTTGAGACTTCAATGGGTCATGATGTGATAAGTTGAAGTTGTCTCATCTATATGATGCGACAAAAAAAAAATTGTTTTAATAAAACATTGTTTATTTGTTATTAATACAAATATAAGTTTTTATAAAAATGTTTTGGTGATTTTCATCTTGTAATAACAATCAAAAGAGATTTCTCACTAGACCTCATGGTCTAACCCTCATTTTATGTTTTAAAATGTACATCAGAGGTTGGACACTTTTTGAGGATAAGGGAAATAGGGAAATGTGAAAGGGATCATGATTGCATCACATATGTGGGTTGTTGGAAGCTATTATGTTATTTGTACTTGAGAATTTGTTATATTTACAAGTCTTGTACTTTTTTTTTTGTAAGGGTGTCCGAGTCGAAGCCCAACTAATCCCGGCAAATTTGGAGGCTAAACATGGCCCCACTTAAATGTCGCGAGTGAATTACACCTTTGGTCTATATGGTTTGCTCAAATTTTAGATTTGGTCCCTAAAATAAATTATCTATACTAATAGTTCTTTACTTTTCATTTTTATAACACCCATGGTCCCTCTATTTAACAACGTAGTTAGTAATCATTCTGAAGGATTAATCGGTCTTTAAACAAACTATAGGTACCAAAAATTTCATCTGATTCGCTTTTTTTTTTAACTTTTTATTAACAAAATATTATATATTTCCAATCACAAATCAAATTTATTAAAACTAGAAGCGTACTCGCGCAATGCAGCGAGATACATCATGATTTTAATATTTCATTTTATTCTTTATCTCAGTCGATGTTACAATATGGATTTATGTGATTTTAAGAAAGCGATGATGTTTTTATTTTTGAATAAAATATATGTTTGAAGATATCATAAAATTTTGACAAAAATATATC